AGGCCCCAGGCTACCAGCCCCGCCCCCCCTCCCAGCCACAGGGTGCCCTTCCTCCTCACCCCTCCACCAGGCTATGGGGAACTGAGAAGCCACTGCCCACTCTCTCATCCCAGCTGTGGGTGGGGACTGGGGCCAGGCAGGGGGCTGCCTGGCACCCCTCCTCCACCGCTGGTGCCCTAGACAATGAGCTAGGGCTGCCGAGGAGACAGGCCACTCCCGGACCACTTTCTTACTGGTCCTCTACTATTTTACTTTCACCCCTGTTTGCAGCCCCAGGAAGTGTTTAAATGGGGTTTGAGTTAGCCATTCCAAAACAAGTCCTCGCCCACCACCTTTCTTTTTGTCCAGTGTAGACCGGAATAACAGAACTGGAAGGATCCAAAAGGACCCTAAAGTCCTCTCCATCTCCCTCCCTGCTCGAATAGGTCCCACACGGAGAAGGAGCCAGAAAGAGAGGCCCGGGCTTGTGGCAAGAGGCACTGGAAAGCAGAAAGCCACCTGCTGCGGTGGAAAACACAGGCTGAACCGGAGGAATTGAGGCATTTCTTTTGTGGCACCAACAGTCACTCTCTGGGCTGAACCACAACCACCGAGTTCTTTCAAGGGAAATGCGATTGGGCTCAGTTTCAGGTTACAAAACACCCTGCCCGATGCTGTTCTCTGCCACAGCAGCTCGGGAGGAAGGGAGGGGGTAAGAAGTCGGGAGGGAGAACAGATAGCCCCCAAAAGAGGTGCAATTTCAGCCTCTGAACTGAAGAATTTTTTTTAAAATCTGCTTCAAAGAACACATCTAGCAGATACATCCAGTGAACTGTTTCCAGAACTTAACCACTGGAAACTTTCTTCCAATAAAAAACTTATTAGTAGCAATGACCTTGTGATGATTTTAATTGCTGCTGTTTGTCATGATGAAGGCATCCTTCTCAGACTTGGGTAGCTAAAACTGGGAGCAGTCTCCCCAATGTGGTCTCCCTTGCCTTTGTACATTTCCCTGAGCTAGTGTGGCATAGCAGTGTGAGAGTGCTAGACTCAATTCTGGGAGTCCCGGATTCAAATTCCCACCCCGCCATGAAGTTCAGGGCATAAGTACGCATTCCATTTTCCTTGTTTCCTCCCTAGATCTTGGCTCCCAGACATGTTGTGTGAGTTTCAAGCTGAGAAGAACTCAGTTCTAGATGCACAGGGGTGGATTCGGAGCAAGACTGCAGGGGGTGGGGGTGGGGTGGGGGACTTACGCGTCCCTGCCCCTGTGCTGTTTTTCCAACCCAAAACAGCCCCCAGGAAGAAGCTACCTGCCCACTGGAGAAACTGACACATATTGATGGCTCCATTTCTTTCCCCATTGTGGCAAATAGCACCTCTCACAGCCCTTTCATGTCAAAAAAACAGCCTGGGGGGAGAAGGCTCTCTGCATGCTGTGGTTCTGGTCCAAATTGGCCCTGGTGTGCCTGGGAATTGAGTTATGAACTTGCAACAGACATCTGATCACCAGGATCCTAACCCTAATTCTAAACCTGTTTAATTTCTCAGTTTACAGTGTAATCCTAAATAGAGTTACACCTTTTAAACCCACTGACTTAACATAAGAACATAAGAGAACCCAATGCTAGGTCAGGCCAATGGCCCATCAAGTCCAACACTCTATCACACAGTGGCCAAAAATACCAGGTGCCATCAGGAGGTTCACCAGTGGGGCCAGGACACTAGGAGCCCTCCCACTGTTGGCCCCCCCAAGCACCAAAAATACAGAGCATCACTTGCCCCAGAGTCCCTCTCTATACCTTGTGGCTAATAGCCACTGATGGACCTCTGCTCCGTATGCTTATCTAATTCCCTCTTGAAGCCGTCCATGCTTGTAGCCGCCACTATCTCCTGTGGCAGTGAATTCCATGGGTTTATTTATTTATTTATAAGTTCAATTTATACCCCGCCCTCCCCGCTACGCGGGCTCAGGGCGGCTTACACGGAGGCATACGTCAATATAAAACATAGTTAAAACCATTTAAAATATCAACAATACAATAACATTATTATTAATAAAGTGCTCTAGTTGTTCTCATATGATATTTCCCAAGATGGCGGATTACAACTGCTCTGCCAGTTCAGCGTCAGCTGCTCCGGAGAACGCTGATGTTCCTTATTCCAGGGCCAGGCTATGATGGAACAATAATCACTCTTTGGGTGAAGAAGTACTTCCTTTTATCTGTTCTAACCCGACCGCTCAGCAATTCATGGTGTGCCCACCATGCATAATCTTATAAACCTCGATCATGTCACCCCTCAGTCGTCATTTCTCCAAGCTAAAGAGCCCTAAGCGCTTTAACCTTTCCTCATAGGGAAAGTGTTCCAACCCTTTTATCATTCGAGTTGCCCTTTTCTGCACTTTTTCCAAAGCTATAATATCCTTTTTAAGGTGTGGTGACCAGAACTACACACAGTATTCCAAATGAGGTCGCACCATTGATTTATACAGGGGCGTTATTCTAGCTGTCTGTTTAAAATTAATTAGCCAGTTTTGGATCCATGAAAGGACTTGTCCTTTTATCCCATGAATTTTGAGCTTACTTAGGAGCCTTTGATGAGGAACTTTATCAAAAGCTTTCTGGAAGTCAAGGTAAACAACATCTTTTGGGTCCCCCTTGTCCACATGTTTGTTCACCCCCTCAAAGAAC